AAGAGATGAGAGGTGACTAGACATATATTAGACAAAATAACCATTAATTCAAAATCTGCCACAAGAGATCAAATGAGAAAGATAGACGTTGTACTATGATAAAGTTTTTATTTTACCAGAATGATAAAACTATTGTAAATATATATGCATTCAACATTATAATATCTAAATATATGAAGCAAATATTGACAGACATGAATGAAAGAGATAATTCTCACCATGCATTAGTTAGCAATTGATTTGTACAAGTCCAGTAGGCAGAACACTCATACAACAAGCAAAACAACATTATTTTCACAGGCAACAAGGAGCAATAAAATACTAGGATTTATGGTGACCACCAAAGCTCAGGAAAACTACACAGGGAGAAAGGAATCTAATCTGCATGTGTTCCATGTGGTACTGCAGTTGAGGAACCCTGAAAAGCAGCTTTCCCTGAGATTTACACAATGGGTAAATGAGACTCACTAGGATAAAACTCTGCAGGATATCTTCTTCTAGCAGGGACAGGAACAGAGCCCAGGCTATTCCTGTCAGTTACTCCTGATATGATATGAGTGTTCTGATGATGATTCCTAGTACATTCTACAGTTTTTCCTGGGAACTAATTACAGGTAAGAAAAGGAAGATATCTAGGATGGTCTAAGACCATCTGGGAAACTTTCCTCTAGATGGCAATACTATAATATTAGAAGACTCAAATAGTCCACTTCCAATAATAGAGAGACCATCCAGACAGAACATTAATAAGGTAATTAATAGTGGACTGAACAACATTTTGGACCAGACCTACCTGATAATTAACAAAACATTTTGCCCAACAGCAGCAGAATACACATTTTTCTCAAGTGCATTCTTCAATACGGATCACATGTTATAGTACCAAAATGTCTTAACAAATTTAAGTAGATGAAAATCATACCAATTATCTTTTCTGATCACATTGAAATGAAATTAGAACTCAATAGTAGCAGAAGGAAAACTGGAATATACACAAGTATGTGAAAGTCAAACAATACACTCCTGAAAAATCAATACGGCAAAGACAAATTAAGAGGAAAATTAGAAAATACTTTGAAACAAACACAACATATCAAAACTTAGGATATGTAACGAAGCAGCACTAATAAGGAAGTTTATGATGGTAAATATCTACATTAAAGAATGAAGTAAGATCTCAAATAATCAGGTAAATTTACACTTTAAGAAACTAGAAAAAGAGGAACAAACCAAGCCTGAAGTTCGTAGAAGGGAGGAAATAGTAGAGATTAGATTAAGAATAAATGAAACAGACAAGAAAATTAATAGAAAAAAATTAAAATAATTAAGAGTTGATTTTTTGAAAAGGCAAATACAATTGATGAATATTTAGCAAAACAGTGAGAAGAAAAGAATAAATAAAGAACAAAATGAAAAAGATATTACAATTGATGGTACAGAGGTGAAAGGCATTACATGAGACTATGAAAAACTATACACCAACAAATGAAATGATCTAGAAGAAATGGATAAATTCCTAGAAACATAAAACCTACCATAACCATATCATAAGGAGAAGAATAGCTCAACACTTGTAACTAATGAGACTGAATTGAATCAAAAATTTTCTAAAACAAGGGACTGGGGTAGAATGCTTGCCTCGCATGCACAAGGCACTGGGTTCAAAACCCAGCACCACACACACACACACACACACACACACACACACACACACACAATTACATACAAAAAGAGGTATTAAAACCCTTCCAAAACAGACAAGTTCAGGACTATATGGCTTCTCTGGTAAATTCTATCAAATATTTAAATAATTAATGCTGAATCTTCTCAAGCTATTCCCAAAAGTTGAAGCAGAGAGAACACTTCCAAACTCATTTTGTAAGTGCAGCATTGTGGGACCTCAAAGCCAAACAAAATCACTTCAAGAAAATCAAGTTACAGGCTAATGCCCCAGATGAACATAGTTGTAAATCTCCTCAACAAAATACTAGAAAACAAAATCTTACAACAAAATAAAAGAATGATACACCATGAGAAAATTAGATTCATCCCTAAGATGTGAGGATGGTTACATAGGAGAACCAATCAATGTGGTTTCAAAATATATTACAAAGATAGATATAGTGTTTGCAAGAGTGTGGTAGCCAGGCATGGTGACACAGGACTCTATCCCAGCAGCTCAGAAGACTACCGGTAGGATTATAAGTTCAAAACCAGTCTCAGCAACTTAGCAAGGCCCTAAACAACTCAGTGAGACCCGATCTCTAAATAAAATACAGAAACAAAAGGGATGGGGATATGGCTCAGTGGTTAAATGCCTCTGAGTTTAATTTACCTCACCCTCAAAAATAAAACAAAACAAAAAGTGTGGTACTGGCATAAAAATAGACACAATACAGACCATGGAACAAAATGGAGCACAGAAATAAACTCATGCATATATGGTCAACTAATCTTCAGCAACCGTGCAAAGAATACAAAATGAAACAGGATTGTTTCTCCAATAAATGATGTTTTAAAACTTGATATTCATATGTAAAAGAATGAAATTGGGCGCCTTTCTCACACCATACACAAAAGTCAACTCGGAACAGATTGGAGACTTCAATATAAGACCTGAAACTGTAAAATTACTAAAATCATTGGTAATCATTTCTTGAATTTAATATCCAAAACACAGTCAATAAAAGCCAAAATCATTAAGTGGAATGGCACCAAATTAAAAATTTATTATGGTAAAGAAAACAACAGAGTGGAAAGGCACCTATAAAATAGGGGAAAGTGTTTTCAAATTATATATGAGATAAGGAAATAATATCCAAAGCATATAAGGAACTCTTACAACTCAATCCAAGAAAACAAATACTCTTGAGTTCTAAACTGGGCTAAGGAATTGAATATATATTTCTCCAAAGACTTACAAATGGCCAATATGTAAGGTGTTCAACACCATAAATCATCAGAGAAGTGCAAATCACAACCATAATAAGATCACCTCACATCTGTTAGCATTGCCATTATCAAAGACAGAAAAAGTGTTGGAAAATATGTGGAGAAATTGGAACCCTTGTAAACTCTTGGTCAGAATGTAAAATGGCACAGCTACTACGGGAAACAATATGTAGGCTCCTCAAAAAAATGAAAAATAGAATTTCCATATAATCCAAAAATCCCACTTCTGGGTATTAATTCAAAAGAACTGAAATCAGAAACTCAAAGAGAGATTTTCACTTCCATGCTCATTGCAGCACTATTCACAAGAATCCCAAACTGGACATACGCCATGTGTCCACTGACTGAGGAATAGATAAAGAAAATGTGGCATAGAAATTCAAGGAAATGATATTCAGCCTTTTAAAAGAAGAAGACCCTACAATGCATGAAAATGTGACTTAAGCTGGATGATACTATACTAAGTGAAATAAACCAGTCACATAAGGACAAACATTACTTGAATTCACTTTTATGAAGTATCTAAAACAGCAAAATTTATAGAAGCAGAGAGTGGAAAGGTGGTTGCCAGGAGTTTGAGGAGGGAGGAGATGGTAAGTTTCTATTCAACAGGTATGAAGTTGTAGTTATGAAAAGGAAATAAATTCAAGAGATCTTCTGTATTTTCCACCTTAAAATTGATTAAAAATGTAGATCTCATGTTAAATGTCTTGCTACAATAAAAGTAAAATTAGAAAACACATTTAGGGACTGGCAGTGTGGCTCAGTGATAATTGCTTGCCTGGCATGCACAAGGCTCTGGGTTCAATTCCCAGCACTGCAAAACAAAACAAAAACAAAAACACATCTAGGAGTAGATTTTTGAACATTGTCAGTCATCGGATGATGGATAATTTCCCAAGGGAAATGTGAAAATGTCATCATTGGAGACATCTGAAGCCAGACTGAAGAAAAACACACAATCACATAAAGTTGGCCTTGTTCTCCCTACATGGGTGACAAGGCCAGGCCCACACAAGCATGACCTAAGACACCAGTGGATGCCACAGCCTATGCACACCCTCCAGCCCACCCACTGCTCTGCAGGATGAAAGACGAAGACTGGGCTGGAGCTAATGACTCAGCTCAGGAAGAGTAGCTCAGCATGTTCCTGGCTCAGTCACAACGTTCCCAGGGTGCTAGGAAAGGGGCACTCACATCGAGTCACCATACTCCCAGCCCAGAAAAGTTTCCAGGGAACCCAGAGACTCTTCTCCACTCCACCCTACTCTTGTAAATTGGCTTGTATTTTGTTTTTGTTATTTTTAAAAATCAGACAATACCTTATAGAAAACAAGATTACACAATCTAAACAAAATAAAAAGCACCTTAGACTGGGGGTCAGCAAACTATGTTCCAAGGGTCACATGTGGCCCATGGCCTGTTTCTCTAAATAAAGTTTTGTTGGAACACAGCCAAGCCTATTAATTTGCGTAGCATGTATGGCTGCTTTCATGGTATTTCAGCAAGGTTGAGTACTTCAGCAAGGGCCAGATGGTCCATAAACCCTTACTAAGGAAAAACTCTGCCTTAGAATGATAACTTTGAGAAAACTGACTCAAGCATCTCCTTTACCTTTTTCTCTTTTTCCAAGTAGAGAAAAGAAAAGAATGTAAATTTAAACAGAATGTACCATATTTCCATTATCAAGTGCAAGATATCACAGGTTATGGTTCATGTCTGGTACTATCCAATATAGTAGATAAGAGTGAAGGTACTGGAAATCAGAAAGACCTGAGTTCAAATCCCAGATTTTCTATTTACTAGCTATGTGACCTTGGGAAATTTGCTTAGCCTTTCTAAACTTTATCCTAAAATAAAACTTTAAAAAAATATAACCTCATTCAGAAGACTGTTTTAAGGAATGAGTGAATTACTGCATGTAAACCACTTAGTGCAATACCTTGTACATTACTCTGTGCTTAAAGAACTGCCTAATATTATGACTTCTATTATCAAAATATTAAAACAAGGAGATCAACTTTCCAAGATTGAATATGAAGTGTTACCTGTGCAGTTTTCCCCAAGATCTCCACAGAGAGGGCCATTTGTTTCAGGACTTCTGGTTGAATTCCCATCAGCCACCACACAGTGGAGGATCACTAGGCCTTTAAGTACAAAACAGAACCAAAAAATAAGCATGAGAACTCAAGAATTTGCTTAATGTGAAATACTATCTCCAAGTCATGATCCACTTAGGAGAATAGCAAGCCTGTGGCTCTGTACCTCTCTCCCAGCCAGGCAGGGGAACAGAGGCCAGAATGTCTCATATTTTCAGTTAAAGATGGTATTTTCAAGCCAGAGTTCTTATACTTGAATATGCATCTTAAAGGAGGAGACTTGGAAATATCTTAGGAAGGAGCCTGAGATTTGCTTTAAAATAATCCAACATGGAAATAAGGCTACAAAGTAATGAGGAAAAGACAGAGGAAACAAGACTGGCTTCATGGTGGTAATTGTTGAAACTGCATGATGGTGTGTCGAGTTTCATTATGCTGTACTCTCTAGTAAGTATATATCAAAAATGTCTACAAGGAAAAGAGGAGAGGATAGAAGAGAGGAAAAGAGGAATATAGAGGTGGCTTAGGAAGTAGCTAGTCCTGAGTTTAAGACCTGTTTATCAGTGTTAAAAGTATGCTAATTTGGTGTGTTCAAGTCAGTTTCACTGCTGTGACCAAAAGACCTGACAAGAACAACATAAATAGTATAAATAGTCATTTAATAAAAGTTTATCTTGGCTTATAGTTTCAAAGGTTCAGTCCATGGTTGGCTGACTCCACAGCTCTGGGCTCAAGGTGAGGCAGAACATCATGGTGGAAGACCATGGCCAAGAATAGCTCAGGACATGGTAAAAAGGAAACACAGAGAGAATGCACTCCATTCACCAGGGACAAAATATAAACCCCAATGAATGCCCCCAGGAAACTATTTTCTCTAACCGCACCCTACCAGCTTACAATTGCCACACAGTTAGTCCAAATCAGTGGATTAATCCACAGATTAGGTTAAGGCCCTCATACTCTAATCATTTCACCTCTGAATATTCTTGTATTGTTTCACACATACACTTTGGGGAGATACCTTATACTTAAACCATAGCAATGTGTTAAGAATTCAAAGCACTGAAGATAGGGTTGGCATATAATCAGTGATCAGTAAAACTTATTATTATGCAAGATGTAACTTAACGTCTCACTGGTTATATTGAAAATTATACACTAACAATTTCTAAACAGCACATCTTCCCCAATTCATTTCAATTCAATTCATGGGCATCCAGGAACACAAACAGGTGAATAGGACATTCCTGACCTTCAACTTGCTCTAAAGCAGATAACTAAGGCAGATAATCAGCCAACCAATTCTTCACAACACAAAATAATAGTCCTACAACAGAAAACTGCAGTAGCCAAGATGTTCAAATTTCAAAGACTATTCAAAAGGGTCTTTATAAAGACAGGCTTTTTTTTCCATTTTTCAAATTAGAAAAGATTTTTTTAAAAGAAAGATATGCTACTTGGTGTTGGAAAAAGTAAAGAGAAATGGCAACTCAAATCCACTGGTGATGGATAAACTCATACTGCTTATCTATAGATTTAATCTGTAATCTTAAATCTGTAGATTTAACTCTACAGAAGTTAAATCAAAAAATAACTCAAACAATGTACAAACCCTTAAATCCAATAGCTACATTGCTAGTAATTTTTCCTAAAGAAATAATTCAGAACACATAAAAAAGATTTAGCTAGCTTTAGAAATTTCTATATGGTGTAAGAAAAAAATAGAAATTACCTAAATAGTTAACATAGAGCATTGATTAAATACATTTTATTTATCTTCATGTAATAAGTTTTCAGCCATAAAAAATGGTGTTCAAACACCAACAGAACATTTTAATATATTTCTAAACAAGAAAGCAGACTATAGGATAATCATTTAGTGTGATTTGTGTGCATGGGTTTCTTTGTTTATAAAGTTAAAAAAACAATTTGTATAAATAGTCACTTAATAAATAAATACAGAGTTTCTCACACTGGCTAAGAGGGGATTTTTTCCTTAATCTTGCTTATTTGTGCTTTCCAATTTTTTACCAACACATTTTGTTTATTGCAACAAGAGAAAAAGGAATGACTCACTTTTTTTGTCACAGTTTGGCTACCAAATTTCTCAATTATTTACACATTTTTCCCCCAATATTTGTCTCTCCCTTTACACTTAGAACAAATAGAAGCAAACAATCACTTAGGGTTTCTCAAACACAGAAACTATGTATTAGTCATCTTCATAATCTCGGCAAATGATACAGAGCATAAAGGATGAAGAATGACTCAGTCAATCTATAAACAAACAAAAACCTCAAAATCAAAAATCGTAGTAGCAATTTCTAGTGGAAAATAATAAAAGACATTTAATCCATCTCCAAAATTCCATACATGAACTTTCTTTATGGGGCAAAATGAGGACACCTTAATTTTACAGTTAATCTGTTCTAATAATGGAAACTCAAAAGAAAGGTAAATGTCAACATCTACAAACTGGGGGTAGCAATATCTGCTCAGGGTTTGCAAAATTAAGTTTTATCAGGAAAAAAAACACATGAATTGGCACATCTTATGCAATTTTTAGTCTAGTTGCACTCCTTCCACTATCATTTATAATTTAACCCTTATTCTCACTTCCATCTGATGGAAGGGACCCTGATCTCATAAAAACCTTACCCAAGCCCTTTCAGCTGGACCTCACTCCACATGCTGGCTTCACTTGGCAAAAGGAGGCCACCATCATTAGGGAGACGCAGAGCCCCAGGGGATGAGGCATCTTCAGCCAAACCAGCACCCAAACCAAGCAGAGAACCTGGAACAACATGCACTCTACCTCCCACTGCCCACCCACAATCTTCAGACCGTCAACTGATGACCATGAACAGAATCATTTCCTTGACCTGCACAGTTTTTCAACACTGAATTAAGGCAGTTCATATTAGACCTGAAGTTTGTGCTTCTCTCAAAATTACAGGAGGTCTGGCAATGAAGTCTTTTCTCCTCTAATAACTGGCTGGAACTAAGAAGCAGATAACTCCTTTAAGTGCCACAAACTATATGAGACTTACTGATCTCATTTATTTTAACAGTCAGGATCCTAGTGGACATTTGAGTTTGCTATCTGAAAGAAGAGATGCAGAAAATAGAAAAATGCTCTCAAACCCTCTACCAAATAGTTAAGTCTATTACAAAAAGGGTACTCCTATTCCATCCTCTCAACAGATATTTATTAAGCACTATGTATTTGGCACTGGTGCAGGATGCTGAAGTCTCAAAGATATTTTCACTGACCTCAAGGAGATCATATACTAGAAAACACAGATACATAAATATTCAAGTAAAGTGTGATCAGCATAGCAACAAAGACAACACAGGAGTTACACCAGGTGAAGAATCAACTCTGCCCAGTGGCAAAGACTTCATAGAGACATTGAGGTTTATAATGAATTTTTAATGAGAAATAAATAATTTTTAAAGCATCAATTAATACTTGTGAAAAACAAAAATATGTAAGAAATATAATCACAGTTTATCATTTGTTTCAGCACTGGATAATACCTATGTAGTTATAATAATGTCAATAGTGATAACTGAGCAAAAGATTATCATAAAATTAGGGCCACTTGCTAGCACACGTATACCACCTGGGAGACTGGGAGTAATCAATCAATGCCTGTGCTTTACCAGTTCTTAAGTTTTGAGTATCATCCTGAAGTTAATGGTACTAGAATTATGAAAAAGAAAGAACTCAATAGCAAAGATCTAAAGCTGACAAGTCAAGAAGTAGCTTCATAAGCAAAGTATTTCATAATACAGAGGCGAATAGCAGAAGAAACTCCTAAAAGAGGCAACAGGTGCTGCCTCTAGGGAGCTAGAAAGGAAAGAAGGTGTGGTGCAAAGGTCATCTTCTTCTTTTTTTTTAAATCTATTTATATCTATCTACTTCTTTATTAAGAAGAAAATTTTTACAAGATAATAAATGACATTTTAATTAACTAGGGCATGCTAAACATAAAGGACTATATAAAGACATGTCATGAAATAACATGACTTGTCCATCTTGTTTTCAGGGTGGGGATTGTGAAGGAAGAGGAAGTTGGGAAGAAAGTAGGTAACAAAAGATCTACGTGCCATGGTATGTTGAATTCTGTGATGCAGCTAAGATGTGACCAGTGAAAAGTCTAAAGCAAACAACATAATCATCCTTTTCCTTTTTCAAATTTGAAAAAAAAATTTAATGTCAATATTTAATATTTCAGACATTCCTAAATCAAGATGGTAGTACTGGTTATGGAGAAGAATAAATGAATATGAGAGATTCACAAGGTTAAATCTGAAACATCTGGCAGGAATTGATGATAAAGGAGTTGGAGATGACTCAGAGTTTGCAACTTAAGTAAATGCTTAATTCATTAGCAGATCTCAGGTACATGGGAAGATTGTACCTGAAGACTAATCCAGTTTTAGACACTAAATTCGAGATATCTGTAGATCATCCAGGGGACAATTTATGGATATATAAATACAGAACTGTAGAATGAAGTCAGAACTACAGACTCTATATTTGGGAGTCATGAAGATTCATTCTAAATTCATACTAAATTCCATGGGAATGGATCTCTTAGAAAAAGCTGTGCGAAAAGAGAAAGCTGATTAAGGATAGAATTCTGAAGAATCTCAATAAGATAGGGTGGCAGAAAGAGAAGGGCCCTTTAGAGACTGAGAAGAAGCCACAGAGCTAAAAAAAAAAAAAAAACTTCTTCAGAAGAAATTGAACAAAAACCAAACTGTCAGAGATATAAATATAAGAAATGAATCATTTCAGAAAGCCAAAAATAGAAATAAAAATAAATTAATAAATAAAAGAAACAAAAAGCATGCATTAGATTTACACTAGTAATATGTTTCTAGAGAAATCTCAGTAGCATGGAGAACGTGTAAATAATTATAGATTATTCTTCAAATACATTGAACTTAAAGAGAGAGAGAGATTAGTCAACATATTCTCAAACAAGAGAGGTTTTTTTTTTAATATTTATTTTTTAGTTCTCGGTGGACACAACATC